ATTCTTATTTTTGAATTTCACTCTGTTTTACTAAACTCTCGCCCTACTTTTAAATGATCTCGAAATTGTGTATCTGTTCTACTATGTTTTCTACTAGGTTACCCTTTTCTGCCCAGAATCTTGCTATTATTTTCAAAAATATTTATCCTACGTCTCGTCAAGTTAATGTATCTCCATGCCTCTACTCTATTTACAAAGAATGTTTTAACGATTTTATCTATCTTTTCACTAACTCCTAAACTGCTTTATACTTCTAAATCCTACTACTGTCCCAAGTCGTATTTCTGAAAACCGAGCATTTTTTGAAATCACTTAGTCTTAATTAAGCTTCTGCTTTCACTGAAACTCACTGTTTTATTTCAACATTCCGGCTTTTAAAACTCTTGTCTTTGAGACCTTAAATGTGTTTGAGATGTGCTAATTATGAGTTCACTTGTGGAGGGATCTGTGAGCCTCTATGTGCCTTTGTATGTTCCCCTTATATGCAGTCCTATTTGTTATGTATGTCGCTTAGCATTTTTGCCTTTAAACTTAAGGGTTCAGCCTAGTCCCCACCACGTAGGAATAGTGATCCTAAATACCCTCCAGGACTTATAGGACGGGATGGGTAATAGCACGCAATAAGTATTCGTGACCAACTCACGCGTTTAATAACCTTTATGGGGTGGGAAGGGTAGAATATGGATATGATGACCACGCGATAACACCACGTGTATAAATGGTTACCGGGTGTTGTGTGGGGTGATCCATATTGATTATAAACCTAGGACCCCCATTTCCCTTTATTTTATTTTTTTCATTTATTGTTTAAATCCTTTCTTGAAACTTCTGCCCTCTTTATCTCTCCTCAAATTTCCATTTTACTTGCAATATTATGTGAAAACTCCCTCTATTTGAACCCTTATTTGCTCACTTGTTAAGTGAAGTCACAATTGAAACATGGCCGGGAACCACACTAGTGGATCTTGGGGGGTGCCTAACACCTTTCCCTCGAGATAATTTCTAGCCCTTACCCAAACTCGGGTTTTCAAACTCAAAAACCCCTTTTTGTGTCCTAATGCACTTAATCATTAGGTGGCGACTCTTCAAATGCCAAAACAAAACCCAAATCCCAAAAGGGAAAAGAGTTGTCCTCCTAAATATCGTAAACCCGATTTTGCCTTTTAAAACAAAAAAAGGGGGCATCGATACACACCAGATCCTATTTTTTTGTCCAAAACATTCTGTAACATGTCCGAAACTCATCCGAGCCCTCGGGGCTCCAAACCAAACATCCACACAAGTCTAAAAACATCATACGAACTTGCTCGCGCGATTAAAACACAAAAATAACATTAAGAACTACGAATCGAACACTAAAATGCATGAATTTCAAAGAGAAGTTCAAGAACTACTAGAATTGTGACTAAGCATCCGAATCCTATCAATTCATCTCCAAATGATACCAAATTTTGCAGACAAGTTCTAAATAGCATAACGGACCTGTTCCAAGTCCCAAAATCAAATTCCGAGCTTAAAAGCTAATATTCAACCTGCGGTCAAACTTTTCAACTTTAAAGTGCCAAATTTCGGTAAAACCACACAATTCAATATATGGAATTCCAAATTCAATTCCGGGCATACGCCCAAGTCCAAATCACGATACAAAGCTATCAGAGTCATTGAAACACAGTTCCAGGTTCGTTTAAATAAAAGTCAAAGTTTGGTCAACATTTCTAACTTAAGTTTCTAAGTAAAGAATCAAAGGGTCCAAATCAACACGAAATTTTCCCGGAACGAAACTAATCAACCCCGTAAGTCATAAAATCATAAACACACATGTGTGAAGTATCAAAAGGGGAAACGGGGTGCACTTACATAAAATGACCGGTCGGGTCGTTACAACATACTTCCGCGAATGTGATGAACTGCAGACATAAGAAAACCAGCAACTTTAAAACATGAAGAAATGGCACGTAGCGCATCTAAAACACACCCAGGGCCCCTAGGATCCCGTCCAAACATACCAACCAATCCCAAATAATAACGTCAACCTACTCGAGGCCTTAAATTATACAAAACAACATCAAAAGTACGAATCATAGCTCAATTCACGCTTAATGAACTAATGAACTTTCCAAATTCAAAGCTAACGACGAACAAACCTAAACACCTCGGAATGACCTCAAAATTTACACACAAGTCATAAATGACAAACGGCCATACTCTAACTCTCGATACCGAATTCAGAATCCGGTATCAACAAAGTCAACTCTCGGTCAAACTTCTCAATCTTCCAAACCTTCAACTTTCCAACTTCCGCCAAAAAATACCAAACCAACCTACAGACCTACCAATCCAAATACGGACATACGTCTAAGTCCAAAATTAGCATACGAAGCTACTGGAACCATCAAAACTCTATTACAGAGCTGTCTACACAAAAGTCAAACTTTAGTCAACTCTTACAACTTAAGCTTCTAAAATGAAAATCACTCTTCCAAATCCATCCTGAACTGCTCGAGAATCGAAACCAACCATACAAACAAGTCACAATACGTCTTATGTAGCTACTCATGATCTCAATCCATCGAACGGAATGCTAAAGCTCAAAATAATAGGTCGAGTCGTTACAGACCTGTAAGGCCCAGTAGTAATCTATCACTAAATTGAAAAGTGGTGAAAGTATATAGCACCTAAATCTTATGTTTGGAAGGCCTTAGGGATGTTAAATATAAGGGAAAAGTAGTTTTGAATAAATTAGCTTTGTTTAAGGAATGCAAATTACTTTAGTTATATATTCCCTAGCTTCAACTGATCATATCCCCCAATATATAATGAATTGAGCTATAACTAATATATCAAATGAAATCTCTTTGAATCTAGTTTCTAGAACTTCAATTTCTTTGTCATTCTGGCATTCCTATAAAACGTTATGATCTTTTTATTGAAGCGGACCTGACCTCTAAGACAACTATGAACAATAGTTCAAACCGTGGCGTCCGACCATGGCTACGATTAAACGATTAAAAATTTTAGTTAGTAGCATATAAGGGAGGCTGACTGGACCAGGCAAATCATGGCAATGGTTATACCATGCCTATAAAACGTCCAAAAACGATATGTTTCTCGTTATTACTACCCTCAAGAGTTAGGATTTATTACGTTCAAGGAGATATTAAGTCAAGATCATCCAAGGTGAGTTTTCAATAAGTTTCAAGTTAAAAATATTATATTAACATTGTTTAACACCTAGAAATTCAAAATTCCTAGGTCTTCATCAAGGATTGAAAGAGTTTTTCAAGACCCAAACCTAGAGGTTATGGAGGTATTGTTGAAGGTATATTTTGTTACTTCCTAGAATTAAAGTTAGTAACTTTACGATGGATTATGACTAGATATTATGGAATATGTAAGAATTGAGGGAAAAATGTTACAAAAATCTATTAATGGCTAAATATGAACTTGAAGAAGAAAATCAGTTGAATAAGAAAATTTAAGTTAATGGTTTTAAACCCCATAAATATAGATTTTGGAGCGTTGGCTACAAGGATTGTTAGAGGAAAAACTTGAACAATCGGTTAAAGGCGAGTTGAGGTTTCTCTCCATCTCCAAGGATATATTCATATGCTCAATGGATAATAAATATGTATAAGGACATAACAAATAGAGGTGCATATGTATGCTCAAGATGTAAGTTATGACTACGGCCAAATCATATATATCAACATCTCAAGAATAGGTCGTCATGCCAAATAAAGATATCATAAGCCTAAACATGATCCCTGGCTTAAATAAGTATGCCAACGCGATCATACAATCAAATAAAGTATAATTTTAAAGAACACACAACTAAAAAGGCAATAAGAAGCCTATAGTCTACCCGAGCATGAATAAACTACGGCACTCGTATATATACTAAGGTATTTTCTCGTAATTCAAGATTAGGCAAGATACTTCCTTTTCCCTACAAGCTTTAGCCTCCAATCATGAATTTTTCTCTATCCATGACCTCTAAATACTCAAATCTAGCCAAATAGTACATAACAAGGTCAAATAAAGTCATAAAAACAAATTCAAAATATTAAAGATTCAATCTTTAATCAAATCTCAAAAGTCAACCCGGGCCCATATGATCGAAACCTGAGCCTTGGGATAGATCCAGTGTACCAATAACTCCAAGAATCTAAATATATGATTAGTTTCCAAATCTGAGTCCAAACGGTGAAAACCTCAAAATACACTCTCTTATATTTTAGACAAAGTCTCCAAATTTTATTCGTTGATTACTCATTTTGGTGTATAAATCTATGTGGAATCAAGATATATAATTAAATCTAAGTAAGAATTAATTACCCTTAAGATTTGGGTAAAAATATCCTAAAAAATCGATTGCTCTCGAAGTCTAGGTGTCAAAAATAATACAAATAGGCAAAATCCCGACTTGAGAAATCAATAAGTGAATAGCGACCACCGCAGGAGAAAATCCAGCACCGTAGGTGAAAAGCTTGCAAGGTACGAACCCAACAGTGCAGGTGCGAACATAGCACCTTATGTGCAACCCTGGCCAGCCCTATCCCTTTCCGCGGCTGCGAAAACATGGCCGATGGTGAGACCATCGTAGGTGCAAACATAGCATCATAGGTGCGATTACACCAGAAAATTCCAACTTAGCTCAAAATGATATGAAACCACCCGAAAAGTCATCCGAGCCTCCCGAGACTCGTCCTATCGTCCTAAAAATTTCATATATCTTATACAAACTTGTCCAAGGGCTCGAAACACCACAAATAATATCAAAACCAAGAATCAAGAATCAAACAAAAATTCTCAAATTTTCTTAAATTCAAAATTCCAACTTTCAACTAGAAGCGTCGAATCAACCTCGGGCCACTCGATACTTGAACCAAACATATGTACAAGTATAAAATCATCATACAAACATATTGGAACCTTTAAATCATCAATCTGGAGTCGTTTGGCCACAATATTGACTTTGGTACTCTTTCAATCTTAAGCCTCTAGTTAGGAACTAAGTGTTCCAAAGCACTCCCGAACTCTTCAAAAAACAAATCCTCCATATCGGGATGTCTTATAAACATCAAATCAACCTACATAAAGCATCAAATATGAGAATGAGATTCTAGAACGGGTTTATAAATATACCTAGTCTACTAAAAAGATATGAATATCTTCTCTACATAATAGACTCGGTCTCCCAAGTAGCCTCCTCACTCAGTCGCCCTTTCCAAAGTACCTCCACCAAAGCAGTCTCCTTTGGCCTTAGCTTCCGAACCTGCCTATCCAAAATAGCTACCGGCTCTTCTATGTAGTCCAAATTCTCTTCTAAATATGTTGTGCGGAAGTCCAAAACATGTGACTTATCTTCATTATACCTCCAAAGAATATAAACATAAAATACTAGATGTAATTCCGCTAGTATAGGAGGCAAATCAAGCCTATAAGCAACCTCACCAACTCTCTCCAACACCTCAAATGGTCCAATAAACTTCGAAATCAAATTGCACTTCTTCCCAAACCTCATCACGCGCTTCATAGGTGAAACTTTCATAAGTACCTTCTCACCCTCCATGAATGCTACATCATTCTTAAATCAACTTCACCTTCTCCAAAGCATCACGTACCAAGTTTGTACCTAATAACCTAGACTCACCAGGCTCAAAGCAACCACTAGAAAAATGGCATCGTCGACCATATAAAGCCTCATATGGAGCCATTTGAATGCTGGAATTATTAATGTAAACAAACTCTGACAAAGGCAAAAAATAATTCCAATGACCTCCAAAGTTAATCACACAGGCTCACAACATGTCCTTAAGAATCTGAATAGTCCACTCGGACTGACCAACAGTCTGCAGGTAAAAAGTTGTGCTTAGCTTAACCTGCATACCCAAGTCCCATTGTACTACTCTCCAAAAGTGAGATGTAAACTGAGTACTACGATCTAAAATGATAGAAATAGGCATCCCTTGTGCACGAACTACCTCTCGGATGTAAATCATAGCTAACTTCTCCGAAGTATAAGTAGTCAACACTGGTATGAAGTGTAAAAACTTGGTCAACCTATCCATAATAATCCAAATAGTATAAAACATTCTCAAGATACGTGGTAACCCTACCATGAAGTCCATAGTGATACGCTCCTATTTTTACTCCAATATAACCATCTCCTGAGTCAAACCACCTAGTTTTTGATATTTATACTTAACCTGCTGGCGATTCAAACACTGTGAAACATGACCAGTGATGTCCTTCTTCATCTTTCGCTACCAAGAGTGTTGCAATTACGATACATCATCATAGTACCTAGATGAATAGAATACCACGAACTGTGAGCCTCCTGAAGTATTAACTCCCTTAAACCTACAACGAACACAAAGCCGACCCGGAAGTCACATAGCCCTATCATCTCCAATAACCACCTTCTTAGCACCACCATGTTGCATTGTATCCTTAAGCACTAAAAATGAGGATCATCATACTGGCAGCCTTAGTGCCCTCAAATAAGGACGACTAATCAACAATACAAGCAAGAACTCTATTAGGCTCAGAAATATCCAATCTCACAAATCTATTGGCCAAGGCTTGCCAAATGTCTCTTCTCAGCTGGAATAAATGCCAAACTACCCATACGCTCTGTCTTTCTACTCAAGCAATCCGCTATCACATTCGTCATACATGTATGGTACAGGATAGTGATATCATAATCCTTAAGCAACTCAAGTCACCTCCACTGCCTCAAATTTAAATCCTTCTACTTGAACAAATTTTAAAGACAGCGATTATCGGTGTAGACCTCACATGACACACCATACAAGTAATGCCTCAAAATCTTGAGTGTATGAAACAATCACTACCAACATAGAATCAAGAATTGGATTATTTTTCTCATGGAGCTTCAGTTGTTGTGTTGCATAAGCAAACACCCTACCATCCTGCACTAACATTGCATCAAGACCAACGCATGAAGCATCACAATACACCATGCACGGCCCTGAACATGTGTGCAACACCAACACTAGGTTGTAGTCAAAGAAATCTTGGGCTTCTAATAACTATCATCACATTCATCGGACCGTCTAAAAGAACACCCTTTTGAGTCTACTTAGTCATAGAGCTGCAATGGATGAAAACCCCCACAACAAACTAATAATAGTATCCTGCCAAAACCAAGAAACTTTTATCCCTTGTAGGTGCAGTATGTCTAGGCCTACTTTGAACTACCTCAATCTTCTTGGGATCAACCTTGATACCATCACCAGACACTATGTGACCCAAGAATGCAACTGAGTTCAACCAAAACTCACACTTAGGAAACTTAGCATAAAGCTTTTTCTCCTTCAAAGTCTGAAGTGCAATCCTCAAATGCTGTTCATGCTCCTCTCTACTACGAAAGTACACTAAGATGTCCTCAATAAACATTATCACAAAAAATTTCAAATGAGGCTTGATCACCTAGTTCATCAAATCCATGAATACCGCTGGAGAATTAGTCAAACCAAATGACATCACCAAAAACTCATAATGACCCTAACGTGTCCTAAAAATCATCTAGAGATATCGTATTTTAACAACACAACCAACCAAATCTAGCAATTTAACACCAACCTACAGTCCCAAACGAGCAACTCACAAACAAACAACAAAATTCCAAGTTCCTCCAAGAATTTGCTTTACAACCTCTTAGTAATAACAGTCCTACAACTTGTATAAACTTCAGAACAAGAAGGAGAAGATGGAATTTACCTCTAAGCACAAGAACACCTCAAATTTAGAGATCACTTCACTTCCAAGGAGTCTTCAAAATCAGCACAATAAGGAGAAAAGCGATAAGACGACGACTGCGGGATTCTTCACGTTGGATTTACTTGGTTTGCCTTTGAGTATGGCTTTGGATCATATGAGAACTCTTAGAGAGGGTTTGGGAGTATTTTAGGTCTGGAACTAGAAAAATACAAATGAAATAGGCTGTAGGCGTTTGATATATATATCTCAATATTTCCATCATCCAAAGTGAGTCCCATATGGAGCTGCATGTGCAGTCTCACAAAAACATGAATATCTCTCTATTCCACTATCGTATCGACGAACGGTTTAATGAATTAGAAACTAGACTCGTAGAGATTAAAAATGGTTGTCCATCACCCCATAACTCCAAGTAAATTGAGATAAAATCTCAGTAACATTTGACCCAAATCTCAGTAAGATTATGAACGTATCTTGTGACAACTTTAGTAAATTTTTGTTTAACAACTTACTTGACTTTAAAGCTTAACATAAAAATTATTGTATGATTAAAATACCTTATAATAGGGCCTATTATCATATTAAGCACTCTTATTCTTACCCCAAAAGTACGCCTATGGAAATCCCTTCCCTTTGGCAAACTTCGTCGAAAAGTAGTTTCTTTGATTTGTATAACCCTGAATTCTTAAGAAACTTATCACCTCAATAAAACTCTCTTATCCTATTAGATGGATCATAAACTCTTTGGGATTATGTTAGTTAACAAACAATGCAATCGACGTCAAAAGTATGAGGTTAAACAAAAATGAAAACAATTTACCTTTGGGGAGAGCAATGCTAGTGGCTTCTATCATGGTCGGGTACCCAATAAATATGGGTTCCATAATGTTGGCCGATATCACTTTAGTAGCACAACAGGGTAACACTTCCTACTCCTACCACATCACCATCATGGAGTACTTGACATGTGCCAAAGTGGAGTCCAGACCATTTGATATGGAAATTAATCCAACCGGCCCCTTTGATTTGTATAAGTTGCAAGACCCTAGGAACACAAAGAAGATCTGCCAGCCTTCCACTACTACTAGCCAGTCTAATTATCCTGTAGTAGTAGCACCCAGTCCCTCTGATATCCCTTCCTTTTCAGCTGAGCCGTTAAAGTTGTTCGAGCTATCTAGTGCAGTTGCGGGGTAGCCCTCTACACAGTCATACTCCTCTGACATTGATGGGAACCTTAGTAAGGTCTTGGACAACCAGAAGGTGATTATGGACACACTTGTTCAGCATGGTGCAATGATTGAGAGGTTGACCAAGCAGGTGAAGAAGATGAAGAAAACTCAAGCCAGCAAGAAGTAAGTTGAGTTGATGCGGGCTGAAGTGACTAGGATAGCTGAGGTAGGCAACTTGCCGTTTAACATGCTAATTGACCCTGCCCAGTCTCACCCAGCTCAGACTTCTCAGGATTCCACTACCGCTCAGGCCGAGGAGCCTTGCCATGCATCTAGCACTACTACTATGGTGAGTGACATATTCATATCTCAAGCAGCTCCCATGGATGATGATGATACCATCCAACTAGCTGATCTGGCTCAAACTTACCCTACTGGTAATACCATGATGACTGAGGATGCTTAGGGAGTTTCTTCGCCCCTCTCTGCTCTTTGATTTTGTCTTGTTAAGCATTGGGGACAATGCTTACTTTTATTTGGGGGTGGAGAATTTGATTAATTGATACATTTGATAATACTGGAATGTAATAATTGGATGACTTATTTTGTTTATTGTAGTAGTTTGATACATTTTAGTAGTAATCTGTAATTTTATTTGTTTTGGCAGTGTAAATATTATTCTTGTCTTTTTTGTTATTGGTAATCAGCCTTTGGTTTTCTTAATGCCAAGGTTATTCCCAAAGGTAGTTTCTTGTGTGAACTAGGTGACATTTTCCGAGGATGGATAGTGTGACAACTTTCTTAAGAGAATAAGTCTTTTACATGTTTAGGTAATAGTAGTCGTAGGTAGTAATGAATAAAATCTCCAATCAGTTCTTCTATGAAAATGGGTTATTTATGCTTCATGTGGTACTAACATACTTAACCGCATGCTTATGGTTTGAGACAAGGTTGTTGTGAATCATTTTGGAGAAAAGTAAATCTAGTAGAGTGACTTTGAGGCTCTTGAGTTAGTTTTATGATAATCATTAGGTGGTTGTGCAAACCATAGAGATCTTTGACTCGATTGTGGTTATTGTTGATTTTAGACTCTATCTTCTTTTACGATCTATTTTCATTAGAGGTGAGGTAAAATTTTGTTGCTAGTCCAAGTGCTTGAGTGAATAGTCTAGAACTTTCCCCGAATGTGCTTCAAGGCGGAATTTTGAGTTTGCTTAGTTTGAAAAGATGATTGTAGGCTTTCCTTTGATTGTTTGAGATTTTAATTGCCACCTTACAATCATTTTCCCTAGTCAACCCCGTTTGAGTCTTTCTCTTTTGGTAACCTTGCCCTAAGTCTTTCACCATTTGAACATGATCTCCTCTTGGCACCCTAAGCCTTCTAAGCACTCATATGTAGTATGTGGCTCAAAGCTTAAGTTTGAGGGGAAAAGCTGAGGAATCTAAAGGAGGTACCGAAGCATTAGAAAGAGAGAAAATAAATGATAAGAGAAAGAAAGAAAAGAAAGTAATGTGAAAAGGGAGATTGATCAAGATAGAGTAAGCCAAGTATCTCTAGCATAAAAATCAAGGGAGAAAAAGAATGAAATTGTCAACAAAGAGTGATGGCAAGTCTCTCTAGCCTCCAAGAAGAAGGAATACCTCCAAGGGTTTGACA